CATTTTCAAAATAAATTTCCGATTCATTTCAATTCAATATACATTTTTGATATCCCATCATGTATAAGGTACTCCACTGTTTCAGGATATTTTTTAATGTTTATTTATTTATCTTGAGAGAGAGAGATAAAGAGAGAGAAAGAGAGAGAGAGAGAATACAGAGAGGGGCAGAGAGAGAGGAAGAGAGAGAATCCCAAGCAGGCTCTGCACTGTTAGAGCAGAGCCTGATGTGGGGCTCCATTTCACAAACCGTGAGAAATCAAGCTGAAATCAAGAGTCAGACGTGTAACCCACTGAGCCACCCAGGCACTCCCAGTGTATCTTTTAAGTCAAGTGATGATACCACTTATCAATTTAGATGTTAGGGAATGAATATCACTTTTATAGAATACTTTTCAAAATTAAATACCTGGGACACCTGGGTGACATTGTTGATTGAGTGTCCGACTCTTGATTTTGGCTCCGTCCTGATCCCAGGGTTATGAGATAGAGCCCTGAGTTGGGCTCTGTGTTGAGCGTGGAGCCTGCTTATGATCCTCTCTCTCTCGCTCTCTCTCTCTCTCTCTCTCTCTCCTTCTGCCCCTGGCCCTCACCCTGCCCCTAAAATTAAATTAAATTAAATACTTTACATATTTATTCTGTATTGGCTTAAAGCTTTAAATGTTACTTTTTAACATCATTTGCAAAATAATACTTTAGCACGAAATTAAGACGCAGTGTTATTGTGGACACGCATTTAATTTTAGGTTGAATTTTCTTATTAGAGAAAACTCCATATTACCATACTGTCATCTCTGTATGGTTAACTGTACAGTCCCAATAGTGTTTTACTACAGAAATTTTTAAATAATAATTCACCTACAGAAATAATATAATCCTTATACTTTACTCAGTGAAGCTTACCCCAACTATTTCTTGTTTATTTGTACCAATCAGTGAAAAAAACCAATTTCTGTCCCTTTTATTATGTTTTTTATACATACAAAAGGCTATCATCTTTTCTGTCATTTTTTTTTCCAGAGTGCAATTTTCAGGTCTCACAACCTCCTTTTGCAGCTTGTGTTTTCAAGATCTTTTTATCATTTGTATTGTTCTCTACTGAATGCTTGGCAATTTGTCTCTTTTCTGAGATGTGATGTTCTGCTGAACTTAGTGCCCAAATCACAGCCTAACAAGACCTGAATGTAGCTCATCCGTTTTTATGCACGACATCACCATTACAATTCAACACACTGGAGCATTTGAATATATTAACAGGGATCAGAATGTCGACTCATTCAATTTATCATTCACTGTAACTCTTGAATTTTTCTCTCTCTGCTGCTACCATCTCTAGCTTTTCAATGCACATTTTGGTTCCATTACCTTTCCCGGCACCAACCTTCACATCCATTCTATTTTCTTAAATCCAGTGTCACTGACTTGACCTATGTCCCCAGCATACCAAGATGAGGCCATAAAGTAGCACAACATCTCAGACTGGCAATCTCCCCTAGTACCATGACTCACTGTCCTTTCGATTGATTATCATAAATATACAGCATCTCCCAGGGCTTTTTAAATTTTATTTTATTTTATTATTTTTTAATAGTTTATTTATTTTTGAGACAGAGAGACAAAGAGCATGAGCCAGGGAGGGGCAGAGACAGAGGGGGGGACACAGAATCCGAACCAGGCTCCAGGCTCTGAGCTGTCAGCACAGAACCCGATGCGGGGCTGGAACCCACAAACCGCGAGATCATGGCCTGAGCAGCCGAAGTCTCGCCCAACCGACTGAGCCACCCAGGTGCCCCTCCAGGGCTTTTTTTAAAGATGGTTTTTAATATTCCCATTAAACACAAACAAGCAAATAAACAAAACTGCCTGGTGTCTTACTTTAGCCACAACCTCATGTTCCCCTTCATTGGCTCAATTTAAGAAAGTTAAATTCAGCATCAACTACAGGATTACACTTATTGTTTTATTATTAAGCTGTCATCGAAACAAAAAAAATACAGGTTAAATCTCTGATCTTCACACACAGGTGAGTACCAGCCACCCTTACTGCAGGAGGTCACTTATGTATGCGGTGACATGTCATATGGTTGGCTGAGCAAATCTTAGTAAACGCAGAGTTAGTTCCACTTAGCATGTTTACTTACCCAGCTGTAGAAGAAAGCAAAGCAGGAGAATATAAAAATGATGAAGGAAATAACAAAGGAACCGTAAAGTATTAGACCCCAATTTAATTATTTTACCATAAATAAATGGCAGAGTTATCAAAACTGAAATGAGCTGACAACTTCTATGTAAACTTTCATTTATAAGGGAATGTTGGGAGTGATGGATTGTTCAAATTCACAAGTCAAAACGTGCTGCACTCATTAAACTAGACATCAATCTATGTGCCTTCTTTCTGCCTAGAATCCAGGTCCACCCACTGTAGGGACTCAGGCACCTGCCCCTGCCTCCAGCCTGTCCTTGTCCATCCATTGGGATCCTGCTCACACCTCATGAGGGCCAATGTGATTCCTCCAAGGCAGTCATCATCTTTTCTTGGTGTTCACACCTTGTCTTGTCCTTAGCCCTTGCTCCAAAGACCAACTATCTGTGTATAGAGCTGAACTTTCTCCTTGTTTTAAGCTCTCCCTCTTCTCTTTGCTTTCTGGCCACCAGCTGAGATTGAGAATTGCTCAGTAAAAGTTGGCTAAATAGATGAGGTATTAAAAAAATAGCATTTTCTCAATAGCAGTATTTTCAAATGTACTAAGTGGGGTGCCTGGGTGGCTCAGTGGGTTGGGCGTCTGACTTGGGCTGGGGTCATGATTTCACAATTCATGAGTTCAAGCCCCATGTCTGGCTCTGTGCTGTCAGCTGGGAGCCTGGAGCCTGCTTTGGATTCTGTGTTTCCCTCTCTCTCTGCCTCTCCCTGACTCACGCTGTCACTGTCTCTCTCTGTTTCTCAGAAATGAATAAATGTTAAAAAAATTAATTGTAATAAGTTATATTAGGCTTAAATACTCTCTATAGAAATTACATTAATGAAATGGTGAATGTGTTGTTTTAATAAAATGTTAAGAATACATTTTAACTTGGGTAAATTCATTAAGGGGTTAAAAAACAACTATCTGGTCTGAGAAAAGGCATGTATCTATAGCAAAATGAAGCAAATAAATGAATAATTTAAAAATGGAAGAAAATAGAGACCACAATCTTTAAATAATATCTTTCAACTTTTCCTCTTTTATGTATTTATGATTATGTGTCAATAAAATTCTGGATTTTGGAAAAATTTGTATGTGTTCATCGCCTAATTATATGTGGTAGAATTGAAGAAGGTAGTAGAAAAAAAGGAAAAAAGTTTCTGTTTTAATATTTTCAAGTTTGATTTAACAGTTTTCAGAAGCCTTTACAAAAAAGGATAATCATTAGTAAAAGTTAATAAATGAGAATGCTTTCATTCCAAAGAAGACTGTTGACAGATTTAATCACTGTCATGTACATGATGGATCAATTGAAAGATGAAAATGATAAAATATTTTCCTTCTTGGCTCAGGGTAAGTCCAGAAACAGTTCACTTAAAGAGCAAACAGGTCATGACAAAGAAGGTAAGAAGGTAGGACAAATTACTTAGTAATGCAGTGAAAGATTTCTCTCACAGGTTTTTAAAGCAGGAGAACTATGGGGCGCCTGGGTGGCTTAGTCGGTTAAGCGTCCGACTTTCGCTTAGGTCATGATCTCGCGGTTCGTGGGTTCGAGCCCCGCGTCGGGCTCTGTGCTGACTGCCAGCTCGGAGCCTGGAGCCTGTTTCNCTTAGGTCATGATCTCGCGGTTCGTGGGTTCGAGCCCCGCGTCGGGCTCTGTGCTGACTGCCAGCTCGGAGCCTGGAGCCTGTTTCAGTCTGTGACTCCCTCTCTCTCTGACCCTCCCCTGCTCGTGCTGTCTCTCTCTCTCTCTCTCCTAGAAATAAATAAAACAAAAAAATTAAAAAAAAAATAAAATAAAGCAGGAGAACTATGTTTTGATCTGGAGTCAGTTAAATGCTACATTTAAACCTACTTCACTTTTGACAAGACAAAAACCAATTTGTTCCCTAAGTAGGTAATACTCTCTGTGGTTCTCTATGTTCACCTAGAACAAGTCCCTTTCTCTGTTCCCACAGAGTCATCCCCGACACTCAGATCAGGGACAAGGCCATTGTGGCTTGCAAAATAGAACCACCTGAATAAAACTTTCCCCTAGCTTTGCGCCCCTCTGAGCGCACTCTCCTTAACACAAGGGTCAAAGACTGGGGAAGAGTGATTGTAAATTGCCCAAATGTAATGAGAAATGGAACATAAAGATCCTTGGAAATATAAAAGCACCTAAGAAGGTTTAAAAAACTGTAGTGAAAAGATCATGATCTTCAAGTTTTTATGTTTAATATTCTTTTCATTAACAAGTGACATTTAGTATAATATTTTTTTATCAAAGGTAGTTCTATTAAACAATTTGAACATCACATTGTGTATTAAAATCTGGTGTTGTGAAATTCCAAGATAAGATACAGGGTTGAGGGCTCTGCCAAGGGTAACTAAAAGAGTAAAGATCTTTTTATTATAACTTTTGGTTTTTAGTTTTTAATATTAACATTTGTTATGCTACTTCACTTACATCATATGCTCAGTTGTTTGATGAATAAATACCACAACCCTTGTTAAGAACCTTAGAATTTAGCCTAAATAAAATTATTTTGTTCTCATGGAATAGCAAAGTTATCTAAATTCAAAAAAAGCTGATGCCTTATCTGTAATGAATAAGGGCCTACATTAAGAAAGTTAGCTTAAAACTCCACGAAATGTTCTAAAAATAAATGTATTGTGGCTTTTACGCTGTTACCTTGTAAGCTGTGAACTGAAACACGGTTTTGCAGTGTTTTTACCTTGTCTTGTTTTTCTCCAGTTGATAAAAGCAATGTATCAAGCAAGACTCTGAGAACAGTATTAAATCATATCAGAAATATAGGATTTGGTTCAATTTACCTGTTTCTGTTGCTGGAAATCCAATCTGAAATAAGTGTTGACGCCTGCTGATGACAGTGCTTGTTGCCAAAACTGCAGGCCAGCATTATAACTTCTCGACGCAGCTCTCTAGGCACCGTCAAAAGGGAAAACCAATAAAACACAGTGTTAATATTTGGAGAGAAAGGATAACTTACTACATAAACAATAGAGAAGTAAATAATCAGCACGAAAATAATTTTCAGATACAGAAAACCTGTTTTGCTAAGGAAGAGATGTTTAGGCAGAGTAAAAGTTATGAATACTAAAAGTCTTCTCTGGAAATAATAATACAGTGAGGGGCGTGGGTTTGAATCTCTCCTTTATCACTAAAGGATGATCGTACATTTAAACAGGACAAGGATATGCCTTTGTTCCCAGTACCTGGTAGTGGAAACTGTACTGATGAGTACATCAGCAGACCTCCCAGGAAAGGGAAATGAAAGATGCAGGATGAGAGACAGATCAGCTCATGCTGCTAAAGTCACAATGATACTACTGGTATGTTATTGTACAGCTCTGGGGGAAAAGAAGCGAATAAGAAAATAAAACAGTACTCATGTTGGTAGGATGCTTGAACAAGAGATCCATTAAAATTGTTTTTTGGCCATCCAAGCTTGATGTATGTTGCTGCAACTTGCTTTAAAATATATTCCTAAATGGGCATTAGAGGAAATAAAGATAATGTCAGTTTAAACATCTCCATGCTGATAATTAAAATTATACAATAAAATAAAATATTTTCTAGATGAGCCTACTTTAAAATATCAGTTAAATAATGGGCATGATAAATGCTCTACTTTTATTCAGCTTAGTATTTCAAATATAGAAAATGGGGATAAAACACAATTGCAGTGGTGGAAGTCTACTCTTTATTTCCTATTAAATGATTAAGTAATTTGCAGTATTAAATATTTTAGATGATAAGTTTTGTAGCACAACAAGGAAACTGAGGAATATTGATAATGACAGCCATGCACACATATATACAAATGTATGTAGATACAGCTTACAAAAATAAGCACCTAATTTTTATGCATTTCATGTCAACAGAACATGCAAAACTGTTAGGTAAGCCCAGCCAATAGCCTAGCATTGTCGAACCTGACATGCACAGAATGCTCTTCAGTAAAAAAATATGGCATTTCAAAGTCAACAATCCACTGAGCTAATGATATATTTAAATATTAGAGAGCAATGGGGGTGCCTGGGTGGCTCAGTCAGTTAAGCTTCCGTCTCTCAATTTCAGATCAGGTCATGGTCTCAGTTTCATGTGTTTGAGCCCCACATCAGGCTGTGCATTGATGGCGCAGAGCCTGCTTGGGATTCTCTCTCTCTGTCTCTCTCTCCCCCTTTTTCTCTGTCCCTCCCCTACTCATACTGTCTCTGTGTCTCTCAAAGTAAATAAGTAAACCTGAAAAAATATTTAAATAGTAGAGAGCAACATAAAATATGCTCTCCTCACTTTAATGTGGTCCTTGAATTTTGTCAAAGAATGAAAGCACTGAAATTATAGTAAAAGCAATTCTTAACTTTTACTGAAATTGAAGTGTCTGACATGAAATATTATTCCAAAGTACAAATATACACAAAAATGTGTTTTACTTTTACAAAAGTTTAACATTCCAGTGTCTCTGTTTAAGGAGAAAAGAGAAGTATATAAGTCTTTCTCTAGCAGATAAAAGTTATACCGTAACTGTAAAGACACATTTTTTTTTTTTTTTGCATGTCTGTTGTAAGGATTAGACAACACTTAACAATGAACAGTCAAGCCAGGATTATTCCAATTCAAAAAATACTAAAACAGAGGTGTTTTCATGCAGGCTTAGAAGAAGAAAACAAGAAGCAACTCTAATGGGCTTCATACAATTTAGAGGGTGCTAATAAACAGATTTCATGCCATGGCATCAGTAGAGCCAGCATGTCATAAAAAATAGGATGATTTTACAAAACACAGGGCAGACTGCTAAGATAACTGAAGGGAACCAAACAGTGCCCCAAGATGATACGAGGCACAGAGACATAGTCTCATATGCAAAGCCTCACTCTGATAAGAAATTTAGGCCAAAAGCTCATTAGCCATAGTTAATCCTAATATTATTCAAAATGGTTATTAAATTAGATTAGGTGATGTCTACAATGCAGTTTGGGTTTATCAGGCTGCAGCTTAGGAAATCTGGTCAGGTAACATTTTGGAATGTTTGTCATGTCTTCATGTCTATTTGGATTATCTATTGTTTGCTCTCCTGTATCCCCTTGGACCCAATTATGAATGGGCTTTCGCCTCAATGTTGATCTTATCCTTGTTAATTAAGGAAGTGACTTGAATTCTCTTTGCCCTTTTTGGATAAAAATAATGACTAAGAATCTTTACTGAAATTGTCTATATTCTGTTAAGATCTTTGGGATCCCTCTACCCCGGTTAAGTCCTTTGTGAACATAGAGCCCTTTAACTCTTGGAAAGTAAGTTAGAACTTTAAGGATTTGCCATGTATATTTGTCCTTAAATTCGGAGTCATTTAAGCTTAATTGACACTTTTAGGTCAGAATAAAAAGTAGCTTATATTAAATTTCTTCTTCAAGTAAGTGTCATCAGTGCTGCGCAGAAAATCAGGACAAAAATGATAATACAAATTCGAAGAAGAAACGCAAATAACTCAGGATTAGTTGCGCAAAGTGGATAATAAGACAACTGTTCATCATCTGAAAGTAAGAAAGAAGAAAATATGTCTTTTTACATTGAAGACATTGTATTTCTCCATGCGGTCCAGTAATTTATCCAGAGGATAGAGAGCTCGGCTGGCAGCATGCCAAGGAAGAAAATCTTTCTCCTCAGACAGGTATCTGATAATCTCCAGGGGAATATGCTGAGGCAAAGAGCCGGCCCTGCACAGTGAAAAAAGTTAATGTTAATTATATGCAGGAAATATACATGATGATGCAAACCTGAAGATTTTACTTATGCAAATAAAAAGCAGAAAGCAAGATTCATCACAGTATAAAGAAGCCATATCCAGGGCCGTAAAAATAAAATTACTCACTTTTTAAATATAGTCCTACTTAGGATGCCATGTGCCTTAATATACACAGAGTTAGAGAGTTAAAAATTTACATACACCAAAATACCAGAATGCATATTTTTTTCAAAAGGAAAGAATTCCAGAATTTGAATAAAATCAACTCTAGGTATTTTCCTTTCACAGAAACTCTTCAGAGGCCATATGTAATTGAAAACAATTGATTACTGAAATGCGATTTCAGTTTCTCAATGCATTCTCTTTGCTCTTCATGTAGTTCTGTGTAATAATATTTAACACAGATTGTTTTCAAAAGAATAATCAAACTAAAGTGGCAACTTACAGTTTTGACTATCTCTGTCATTATGATATGAGCATTTTTCAAAAGAAATGGTTTCCATTACAACTGTGAAAACCTCAGTTTGATTTTAGAGTCCAAATTCCAAAAAAGTTAAAGGAATCGACTCTTCCCACTTATTATGTTCCTTTCAAAATACATTCTGTGTCACCTTGGGGACCCATGTCAGATTCTCTGGAGAATATGAAACTGTAGCTTTTTAAAATAATCTGAACACATGTTGCCTATATTTAAAGAGGGTATATCCCAAAAAAAGGATCCCAAAAGAAGTGTATATCTCTACTCTACATGAGATTGCATATAAAATCCTTGCAAATCAAAGCACTATAAATGACAATCCACAGTACATTAAAAGATGGGCTGTCTTAGCCTTGATGTCCCTGATGCATACACATAGTGACACTATGAATTTTGCTGGATATTTTTATTTTTATTTATTTCTAGGAGAGAGACAGCGTGAGCAGGGGAGGGTAAGAGAGAGAGGGAGATACAGATTCTGAAATAGGCTCCAGGCTCTGAGCTGGCAGTCAGCACACAGCCCGACGCGGGGCTTGAACCCACGAACCACGAGATCATCACCTAAGCGAAAGTCGGAGCCCAACTGACTAAGCCACCCAGGCGCCCCTGCTGGATAGTTTTTTACGTTAATAATTAATTGAATGCAGGGGTGTCTGGGTGGCTCAGTCAGTTAAGCATCTGACTTTTGATGTTGCCTCAGGTCATGATCTCATGGCTTTGTGAGTTCAAGCCCCATGTAGGGCTCTGTGCTGATAATGCAGAGCCTGCTAGACTCTCTCCCTCTCTCGGCCCCTCCCCCACTTGTCCTATCTCTCTCTCAAAATAATAAATAAATTTAAAAAAATAATCAACTGAATGCAGACTTTTACCACATGGACCAAGTAAATATGAAAGCAGCCAAAGTCTGATTATCTCCTTTATCTACATTTCACACCACTGTTCTTTTGTAGCATCATGAAATTAGATGGACCTTTCTATTTGTGCTTGGTAGGAGGTGGATAGACAGGGAGCAAAGGCTTTTCTCATCTTCACTTAAAATAAATTTGCCAGCCCTCCTACACTGTTGGTGGGAATGTAAACTGGTACAGCCCCTCTGGAAAACAGTGTGGAGGTTCCTCAGGAAACTAACAATAGAACTCCCCTAGGACCCAGCAGTAGCACTGCTAGGAATTTACCCAAGGGATACAGAAATGCTGAGGCATAGGAGCACATGTACCCCAATGTTCATAGCAGCACTCTCCACAATAGCTAAAACATGGAAAGAGCCTAAGTGTCCATCAACAGATGAATGGATCAAGAAGATGTGGTTTATCTATACCATGGAATACTACATGGCAATGAGAAACAATGAAATCTGGCCATGTGTAGCAACATGGATGGACCTTGAGGGTGTTATGCTGAGCGAAATAAGTCAGGCAGAGAAGGACAAATACCATATGTTTGCACGTATAGGAGGATTAGGAGGAACTTGACGGAGGAACAAGGGGGAGAAGAAGGGGGGAAATGGTGGGGGAAAGGGAGAGAGGCAAACCATGAGAGACTCTTGAATGCTGACAGAAACTGAGGACTGATGGATGTGGGGGGGAGGAGGGATGGGCATGGAGGAGGACACTTGTGGGGATGAGCACTGGGTGTTATGTGGAAACTAATTTGACAATAAACTGTTTTTAAAAAAAATAAAAGAAGAAGAAAAAAGAAATAAATTTGCCAGATTTTCTAATTCTTACTGTAACAAGCAAAAGTTATTCTACGGCAAATTTGTGGCCATGTTTATGAGGCTTATAAAAAAAATCAATTTTGGGGGTGACTGGGTGGCTCAGTTGTTTGAGTGTCCAAGTCTGGCTCATGATTTCATGACCTGTGTCATCTCAGTCTGTGCTGACAGCTCAGAGCTTGGAGCTGATTTGTATTCTGTGTCTCCCTCTAGCTCTGTCCCTCCCCTGCTCTCTCTCTCTCAAAAATAAACAAACATTAAAAAAAGAAAGAAAAACCAATTCTGAAGACCGTCCTTCAGTTTTCTCTGAATTAAAAAAAAAAAAAGGATGTGTGTCACTCTAATGATTTTGGTTCACTCGTGGTATAATATTAACCATCAGCCAGATTTAATGTCTGATAAAAATCCAAATGGCGACAATACTCCAAATTTCCACATAATTTCAACATATCCTGAAGTTTGTATGATTTGGACCACACCTAGACTTGTGCCACTTTTCTTTTACTAAAGTTTCCATTTTATGCATCCTTGAGCATGATATTAGGCTCTGGCAATGACAATTAAGTATGGAACTTTACCTTTTTTGCTAGGGTGGTGTCTCACTAATAGTTACCTTTTGCTTTTAAGAGTTAGTTACCCACCAAAAATGCAGTGTATTTTTTTAATAAAAATAATGATTTGGCTTTCTTCTTTAGAAGAAACGTACCTTCTAATATTTCAGATTTCATCATTCATTTTTCCTGAAATTTTAATTTAAATATTAATTGGTATGGTGATCATAAATTTATAATCCACATGCCACAAATTTTATAATTTTAGAGTTGCAGATTTATCTAGAAGTCATTATTCTTTTGTTGAAGAAATAATAAAAATAAAGTAGTGAACAAAACCACCTTTTACTAAGCAGCTAACTTATTGGATCTTCAGGTGAATTTGGAAAAAACTGGAAAGGTGTTGGATTTATTTTTTGCAGATTTAAACATATTAGCCTTATGTCAGTTATTATTTATTGTGTTTTACTACATCCCTGTAAATGAATGGACATTATTCAATGACTTATGCTTTGTAGAAAACATGACTACAAATTAAAAAGATTACAAATAATGTTATGGAAGAGATGGGCTTGAGAAAGAGCCAGGAACCACAAATGCTTCCTGTAGAATTAAACAAACAAATTTATCTCGCCACACCTCACGGTCCTTATCTGTGCAATAAGGGTTCAACTAAGAGACCTCTTTTTTATCACCCACAAACCTTTTATCCTAACCTACTTGTTTGCAATTTAAACTGCTACAAAAGTATTACAATAATATAGTCATACTTTATTTGTTTAAAATTTCGAAAAAATACTTTGTGATTTTATATTCCCCATTCTTCAGTTGTTTAATATATATAAGTCTAAGAGGCAGGGCTTGGATCAAAGTTTTAGAATATATCTGACATGGTGTAAAGAAAATATGGGGCGCCTGGGTGGCTTAGTCGGTTAAGCGTCCGACTTTCGCTTAGGTCATGATCTCGTGGTTCGTGGGTTCGAGCCCCGCATCGGGCTCTGTGCTGACTGCCAGCTCAGAGCCTGGAGCCTGTTTCAGTCTGTGACTCCCTCTCTCTCTGACCCTCCCCTGCTCACGCTGTCTCTCTCTCTCCTAGAAATAAATAAAAAAAAAAAAAAAGAAAGAAAATAAAAGCAAAGCAACCCTGACAGAAATTCCAAATAATGACAAGCCAAATAAAGTATTCATTATACAAAGAAATAGCACAAGCTCTGTTTTGAGTCCTTATGGCAAAAATTGCTAAAATCTAAGCTTTCTTTTACTTCTTGGATAGATTATAATTCCCCCTTTCTTGATAGTGGCGTATGGTCATATGGAAACTAGCCAATAGAAAATGAATATTCATCACAGCAAGGCTTAGCCCACAGACATCTCCCAATAGCTCCTCAATATTCTTTTTCCCTGAAATGAATCTTTCAGGGTGACCTTGGAACTCTTTTACTGAATGTGTCAGAAACCCACCTGGGTCTCTGGATGACTGCATGCCCAAGTAACTGGTTTTCACACCAATTCTGTTATATGAGCAGGAAAAACACTTCTTTTGTGTTTGATCCAAATACATGTTTGGGTCTATTTTTTAAAGCAGTTAACCTTCTCTAATGCAGCCCTCAAATAGAATAAGAAACAGATTACATTCAAATTGCTCTCATTTGTGTTGTTACAAACATATGTAAGTAATTACCTACTACATAATTCAATACACTTACATTTAGTCTACTAGATCAAAATATGTAGCTACACTCAATTGGACAAGATGATCAGCTTCATTACAAAATTAAGACTTGTAAGAGATAATGTTGGTGAATAAGTTACCTAGTTTAGATACGTGTTTGTGTAATTGGCTGGTAATGATATCTGTGATTACTACTACTGATAATGCAATCAATATGGGGGAAGTGTGTGGAATCCAATGAATGGAACACTACATTAGCTCCAAGTAATCAGCCCAGTAGGGAGCACATTTAGGGTCCTGATGCCGAAATGCAGTTGCCCTAGATTTGCATCATCACAGAGAAATGCTACTAACAAAATAGGGGGAAAATAGCAAATTTAAAGAATATTTCATGCACAATTAATTTTGCTTTATTAACATTTTAGGAAGAGGTTGTAGATGAAATCTATCTTCTGTGTTAGTGGGGTAAAGTCTGGCATAAGAAATAATTTAGGAATCAAAGAAAAGATAATGGGAAAATGAAACAAATGAGGAAAGTTAAAGAAGATAAAAGATT